AAATCTGCAAGGTAAGTTAATTTATTAGTACACAATGGCCAATGATAGACAATTTCATTGGTATCATAATAAGTATATAATATGTYAAAATAAATACATGCAYAGTAAATTATTTATTACTTATAAATTCCATTATTCATTATTATTCAATGTTAACCATGTAGGTATACCTAATGAAATATGTAAAATTTATTGTACTCTATAAATTAAGCATACAACCTGCAGAATATTATAATGGGAATAATAATTATTAAGTTTGTTTGACTTGTGCTTTTTGTGTGTCTGTTCGTTTAATCTTTATGTTTTTTAGATCTCGGTACTTATAGCCTTTCTCGTATTATTTATTCAAATTTTAAAGAGTTTTTAAAATTATGAAGAAGTCTGTTTAGGTAGCCCAATCTATATTTATTTAATAACATAGCTAAATAATTAATTACTTAATTAATAGTTGAAATAACAAATTTTACTGACCTTATAACAAGTGTACTTTATAGTGTTATCATTGCATAGTGCTCAATTAATCAATATTCAATGTTATATTGTAATATACTATAAATTTAAACCATACAACTATTGCGTTCAACCAGTTTAGCTACAAAATACTTATATACTTCTAAATGAAAAATATTAAAATAATTGAATAAACATAATATGCAATTCATTAGATAAAACGACAAACAATTGGTATTTTTTKGGGGGAAAGTTTCTGTACAGCGTTTTTTAGTTGAAATGAAAATAACATGAATATTGAAATGAATCCCTTACCAAATTAAAACAATTATTTTTTTAAAATTTTGTTGTTGCAAAAATTTAGCTTGGGTACTCTGCCGTAAACTATCTAAATAAGTTTTAAAATCGGCTCATAAATATTTCCACTGCAAAATTCCAAAAACAAGATAAATATATATGGTAATGAACAAAAATAGATCGCTTTTATATGTCCAGTTTAGAAGATGAAAGACTTCACTTTTAAATTCTGAGTAACTAATAAAAAAAACAACTATTTTCTTCTCTTTTCTACAAAAAAACCTAACATTTTTTAATTTTTTTTTTTTTGTTTTTTGAAAAAATTTAACTTAACGATACTGTAAGCTATCAAGATAAGTTTTAAAATTCACTCTGAAATAAATCCCAGCAAAATTAAAAACATGTAAAATTTGTGTAGAATTGTTCACTCACAAAATAGTGTCACCAAGACCTAAGGCAAAAAAAAATTTTAAAATTGTTTTTTTTTTTGTATAAAACTATAAGCACATAGATCACCACTAACATAAAACGTTAAGCCTATTTTGGTASGTAAAAATACACTCCTTCAACTTTCAAATATGAGCAACATAAACACCACTTTAAAAAACTATTTTACATCCCAATATACTATTTAAAAGTTTAAAACTAATTTTTAGAA